CCAGGGCCAAAACCTGGCTCTAGGTGCCTGCCCTAAGAGAGGATGGCACTTGCTGAGCCCTGAAATGGGGGGACCTCAGCTCCACTACAAGGAGGGAGTACACATGCATCACCTGGCCTTAGAATAAGCTAGTCTCAGATTTAGACCCCGACAGGGCTTGTCAGCATCGTCTAAGGATAAACAGACCTATTTCAGGACAGAGTTGCTCAACACAGTGAATTCAGAGCTACATGGTGAAGCACCAGCATGGGCGAGCATGAGCCCAGGCCATCTGACACTGTGCTTTGCCTTTCCCACGCGTTCTCCAGGGACACAACACAGAGCAACAGGCTTTCAAAACCCTCCACTCCACCAGACACTCAGAATTTAACTTTGGGTGTTCTCCCTATCAAACCCAACAGGGCTGCTTGCACCTTCATCTTCACAGGTGAATCTGAGCTGGACAAGAGCCTTTCACCTGGCACTTCAGTCATCACGAATCACATTTGTGGACTGAATAGGCTGGTTGCAACTCTTTGCTATCTGTGGTTATTAACCTGTGCTCTTCTCACATTTGACTTGTACTTCTTGTTTTTGTCATGTGCAGAGCATTATTTTGAGGCAGCTATTGCMGATCTCCTTCCATCAACTGTTGTGTAAGCTCTGAGAAGTACCCTCAGTTTTCTGACTTGTTCTCCTTTCCATATCCAGGATTTCTTCAGTCATTAGCAAGTTATCATCATATTAGACACTCCAGCCTTTTCACACATGTGATCCTGTGTAGCAAGGGATGACTAAGACTGTTTTCAGAATGGCAGCAGTAGATAATTTTAGAGCAGTAAGTACAGAACATTTAAAAAGATAACTGGGAAGAATCTTCATCTCTTCATCAATTTTGGGGATGGATACAAGCAGAGAGGTGCGTGTCCAGAGCTGCTCAGGCCCAGGTGGTTAGTGGCAGAGAACTGCACTCCAGGCCCCGCTGTGGGACAGTATGTGACATCCATCCTGGGTGTCCCTTGGAGCGTCCCCCCGGCCTGCACCGGGGCCCAAAGACAGGCAAGGAACCACTCACCACTCAGAGTCTACGTGGACTTATTCCTGACGTGATTGTGGCATCTAATATTAAATAGAAATGACTCGGGGTTTGTTGTTGGTTTTCTTTTTTTCTCCAGAAATTACCTTACTCTTCTAAATAAAGCATGATAAAAACATAACAAATTACATATAAAAATCCACAAACAAATAGATCTAGAAAGAAAGATTATTGGAGAGAGAGGGGAGCTTCTGCTATCTTTGCTCTACAGAAAAGGAAAAAAGAGAAATTTGATTGGTTGGTATTTTAAATTGAGCATTAGGGCTGAAAATGATAATGYAACAGCAGCATAACCGCATTATGTAAGGAGCCTCAGGCTTTTTCYAGTTTTAACTCAGTTTAGATGACATGAAAGTTCATCTGACAGTGACAACAGTGAGCGTGTGCCTATGACTACAGTCATTTAAATAGCAATAAAATAAGAAACTAAATGCAGTTGAGAGCTGCCACAGAGCCAGATTARCACTAGCTAATATTTCAGTTTTCAAGTCACCACAGAACCTAGTTCCATCAAGGTCTGGGTAACATCTGTTCCAGCAACAAGGTATTCTTAGTTCATTTGAAAGTAGGTACAAAAACCCACATTGCATTCACTTCTACAGATTTTACTTCATGCACTGTAGGAGCTTTATTTCCCCTGCTTCTATTCTGCATAGCGTTAAGAGAACCAGGAATCAGGCTGGACGAGTTCATCACTAATGAGTTTCTATGCTGAGCCCAGCACCCTGACTGAGGATTTAAGAAAGAAATGAGGCCTAGTTTGTTAAAACTGCATCAAGGCTTGACAATTCCCTCTTTATTCTAAGCTTCCACATACTTGAAGATSTAAATACCTGGAACATGCAATTGACATATTGCGGAGCAGAGGTCAGTATCCGGTTATATTCTTTGGAGGATAACCACAGACTGGTTGAGGTTGGMASGGACCTCTAGAGATCAYCCAGTCCAACCCCCTGCTCCAGCAGGGACACCCAGAGCACGGGGCACAGGGTGGCAGCCAGGCGGGTCTGGAAGATCTCCAGAGAARGAGACTCCACAGCCTCCCTGGGCAGCCTGTKCCAGGGCTCTGGCACCCTCATAGTGAAGAAGTTCTTGACAATAACGATCTAGAGCTCTAGATAACAACAAGCTCCTGCTTCTCCTCAGCCAACACGCGGCTCCTGGCTGTCCCTGGCACCGCAGCCGGGCCTGCTCGCTGGGGGCCGGGCCAAGGCCACACCGCAGCGCTTGGTCCGGCCTCMCTTGGTGCGGCTGCCGCGGCCTCGGCGCCCTCCTCAGCGCCCAGCACAACACGGGTTGCGATGGCTCCGGCTGCTTGYGTTTCCTCGCCGCACTTCCCTACCCCAGTGTGTGTCTGACACACCCAACATTCCCACCAATTACTGGAAAGAATGAGGAGAATAACATTTACAAGCTTCACCTGGATAAAGCGCACACCAGGCACATGAGCCCTTAGGCCTCTCACATACCCACTCCTACACCATTATACCTGCCTTCACACTGGGGTTTACATCTCTTAKGAAATGGAGTCATCAAATAAAATTTCCTTTAAGCATAAACATTAATCATTTTCTTCCACCAAACATTCCTTTCATAGCATGTTCTCATAATGACCATTAGCAGACTCCTCTGACATCGCCTGCACCCGTAACGAGCTCTCAAAAGCCATTCCAGTAAGGGAGATAATGGCAATTGAAACATTTTTCATGTGCTGTCCTCATCACATTTAAGAGAAAATAATGACAGTTATTACCCTATCACAGCAATCACACTTTAACCTCTCGAACATACTGTGGACTAACAAGACCTTTACCTGTCAGCAGATAACTTGGGGTACCAAAAAAACAGTGAACAGGGAAAATCCAGCAAGCAAAGTATTCGGCTAATAAAGAACTGCTACTTCCACTGGTACAAAAAGCAAATATGCTAAAAGCTTGGAGGGGGATTAGGGARTAAAGGATCCAATCTCTCCGAAGGCTTCTTATGTCTGGGGTCTCACATGACTCCTAAGAACAAAGTAAGTGGCGCTGGCCACAGATATGGACACAGCACAGGGCACTTCGGCTCATCCAGAGCAGCTACAGTCACAGCTGAAGACAAGTTGTGAAGACCACTCACACTCCTGGAATCTTTGGAACCCAACCTGGCCTCTGCCAAGCTGGATTCAGGTAGCAACGAGGCTGCCTTGTTTGCTGTTTCACTGCCTGCACCAGTAGCTTCAGGGGGTGGTTTGGAAACACAAAGCAGATGGCAACGTTTTAGGATGACTCAGTCTTGCACCAGATTCTGAAGCTGCTTCAGTCACTTCCAAAGCCCTCAAACCACTGCAGCCTCAGTCCTTCCTCCAGGCAGGCCTGCATTCACAGAATGGTTGAGGTTGGAAGGGACCTCTGCAGATCACCTAGTCCAACCCCCCTGCTYGAGCTGGGACACCTAGCACTGCTTGCATTGCTACGGCAAAAGTCAAGAACTTCATGTCCTTCTCATTTTTTGACTTTTATGCATCTTGAATGTCCCACTTGCTCCTCTCTAACAGCTGTATACGCTGCCCAGCTTATTCTCATATCCTGTCTCTTCTCAGGTTATCCAGAGCATTAAAGTTAACGGCTRTAACGAAGCCTGCCCAACCGAAGTACAGAATACTCTCTGGCCTAAGTCAAGATAGTAACTCAATCACAAAGTATCACTTAGAATTGAAGTTAATCTTGGCTTTTCCCAGTKCTTATACATGTATGTAGAAAAGTCTGTGCACATACACTGCATCCAGCAGCAGCCACATGCTGGAGGCACATGGAGGTGACGTGTTCACGTAGCAGTTACCGCTGCTGGACAGAGAACTCAGGTGACAGATATGATGATTCTTGCATCAGGTGATTGAAGGCYCCTGCAGTGACTTTGCAAAGCTTTGACATCTTCCCATCATGGCACTATCCAGATTCTCTGTGCAGTCCCAAAATACACCCTGCCCACCCGAGAGGACRCCAGGAGGAAACATTCAAACACCTCAAACTGATGGAAAAAAAAATCTTTAGGATTCACTTACCTACACACCAGCCAGCATGGACTGACTGCAGGAGTGTCCATTCTGTAACAAAGATCAAAACGTGGAATATACATTGCACAGCCCAACGCTCCAGTACATTTTTTCCTCCATCTGTACTATCTAGATGGAGCTTAATGTAGGTGAAATATATGGATTATAAGCAAACACGAACAAAATGCTGCYGAAAGAAGCTTGAGTACTGTACAGAAAGGAGTTACTGAAATAAGTAGTTGCTGAAAGCACACTAATCTGGACTRCCAAGTATGCAGTCATAGTAACGCTAGCCCAACATACAGACTCTCTTCTGCTTCTTAGCTCTCAAGCACAGAGTAGTGCACGTAATACATGCCACAATAAAAAGGCTGAGCCAGTTCCCATACTGAGAAATTTCTGAATCATTTGGGAAACTAATAACTGGATCAAGTCATTTATGTCSTCTGTAATTGGTATCATCAGGTACGATCTACCCATATAATGAATTTTTTATTCAATAAAGTTTATATGGTACTATTGTAAATGGACTATTTAATGCCCAATTAGACTGGTGATATTAAGATGGCTTTATTTTAAGCTTTATGGATTTTCYAAACATGTACAAAGAAAATACCCATTACAAAACTCCATTTGCTAAAGAGTCGCCAGCAATATACACCAAGCATGATCCCAGCAGAAATAAGTGACTTTTACAGGAAGCAATACACGAAACAATAAATGGCAATACAGCAGCTCGTCTTTCCCAGTAGATTACAATGAAAACAGTTTCCTTTTGCCACATCCAGAGTTTTATCATTATTTCTTTTAAATAGCCGCATCTGAAATTAAAACGTGTAAGTACACTAACTGGAAGCTGAGAGGCACTCAGAAGCCCTGGAAGAGAAAAGCAGTATTCTTCAAGTTCTCTAATTCAGGGGCAGAAATCCCTGAGAGCYATAGAAAGGACAAATCTGTTTTCTTTGATGGAAAGTCGCTTGCCAAGGGGCATTACTGGCAGACAGCTGTAAAGATGAGCTATAGGAAGAGCAACAATCAGACAAATCTAGCAATCCGATCCAGGTCTAAAGGTAATGCTAAGTAAACAGGAATGTAACTATAAGGAAGGACTGGAAAAACTTTACAAGGAAGGTTTTCAGTAAAGATCTATACAGAGATACAAGAGATGTGCGTGCCAGCCTTGTCATTAAGATGACAGACTTTTACAGTACATGTCAAAACTATAATCCACTTTAATTASAAACAGTACATAACTGACCTCAAGAGTTAAACTATAAATGAGATGAAAGATATTGCACCCTGCCTTCAATGTCACCACCGGCACATTCATTATTTGAAGCTAGTACAACGGAAGGGATAAAAAAAATCTTTTTAAAAAATTTTGTTTATTGTCAATGTAGAATTGCTCAAGTCCAAGCGTTTAATCAGACAGCTCTTTGAAATCTCTGGCACCTGGAAACTGATCTCAGAAAAACTGGATTCTGACCTCCCACCTCCAGTCCCCAGGCTGCTGCTGGACATCGAAATAGCTCTGCTGCTTCTGCTTCTTTTGGGTTGCATCCCAGCAGAGCCCTGTTCCTTGCCRCATCCTGTGGCAAGGGTCCTGACTACACCTTTTCTTTTGCCTATTGCACATATGGAAATTGCACCATTCGGTTATGACGCTGCTTTAGTTTTTGATGCTCTTCAATATGTAGACCTAGCGAGCTAACTAGGTCAAGCAGAGACACGCTCAACGTCCTCCCAGGCTGATCCAAGCCTTCAGAACAGGGGAAGAAGCCCACAATATTTCCCTGTTTGGGGAAAACCCAAAGCCTATTATATCTGAAAGTCAGGTACCAGGCACCACGATAAGCCACACCTAGAGGAGACAGCAGCACAAACACTAGAAGCGAGTCAAGGCAGCCCCCAGTCAAATCTGAAGATCTAACCCTGAAGGTTAAAATAGTCTCACGGCTGCTACCCAGCCCACGATCTGCCTCAGGTTTGGAACTACCAGCAGCTAAATACAGAGCGTGCAAGTCCAACCTCTAGGCTCTGAATTTKTAACGTACCACTGAACCACTGCAGTTTGGCACTGCGATCACTTTCCTTCTAAATCAACATTACATTGGGACATAGGATATCTGCTCTACGTAAAAATATAGGAATGGGCAGTTCTATGGATAGACTCCTGCTCCACATCTCTAATGGAGCCGCTGGACTTCAGGCTTTTGCGCTAGATTTAGGTCACTAGTAATTGGACATGTGTGGAAAACGCACAGGCTCAGCTCACTGTTGCTTAATTAATTTCTTAGTCTGTTAATTTGGCAGCTGTCCTAGTGAACAGGACGGCTGGATATTTAACCTTGCATTAAAGAGGACAGCACCAAAACCACTAACTAATTTCCCCCAAATAAGCTCAACTTCTCCACTGCCAGCACGCTCTGAAATAAGCATTTAATACTGCCTGGAGGGCAAAGTGAAAGCAGTTTTAGTTGCTCAGGTAAGACTAAGCTTTGTTAACTAAGGAGAGCAGTTTCTCTTCTACAGTATTCAGACTTAAAAATATCTCAGCACAAAACTTAAAACCCAAAGACATTTCTCAGAATGAAACAMAGAACTGACAGGTGCCATAAAGTCTTGCAACAGAGGGAACAGAACTAACTACAGCAACTTAAGAGCAGGGCGGGTGTTTTAGTCCAACCAACTGGTCAGTGCACCGAGAGTTTTAAGGCCTCAGCTGTATAYGGAGGGAGGTCTGGGCGCTGTTCTAGCTGTTAGGGGCATCTTTCAAAATTGTAATTTTAAATGTTTAAAGAGTAAAGAAAGCCACAAAGTGAAATAAGAGTTAGGGCTTTTGCTCCCAGAAGTTTTCCGCCATGAGAGGTGGCTCTGCTCCCCGCGCCACAGCGGCCCTGGCCCCGGCTGCCCGGAGCGGCACTGGGAAGAGCAGAGCAGGAGACGCTGCCTCTGGGCTGCCCAAGAAGGCTGCTCTGCAAAACCACCCTCCATTCACTGCGGCGGCAAGACACTTGCTTTGAACCACCAAATGTAGTGCTTTTGACAAGGAAATACATCTGGTGCATGAGCAGATAGTTTTTAATGACATTTTATGGCAGCTTAAGATGTCTACCTTGATTTAAAATGGAACAGTATTCCTATTTTTTTTTAAGCTTTCCAATTAAAAAGGGCTTGAAGACTAAAACATACTAWTATTATTGAAAAGGAACAGATCCTCTCTTTAAGGAACTGAGCACCCCTGCACAGTGAGGCCTTTAAAGGAAAAACACACATACCACAATACTTGCAAAAAAGCGTCATATAATCTTTTGAATCCATAAACTCTAAACAATAAATATGGAAAACAGTGTACATGGCACACCAGAGCAGTTAAATATTAAGACAAACAAGTGATAACATCTATGCTGTCAGTGATAAATTTGTGATAAAACCCARTGAGCTTAATGCACAAGATGTTTAGCAGAGGAAAACCCCACAGAACCAAACTGATACAGAAGGTAAGGGAGGGGGAAGGAGACAGCAAATAACAAGGCACAGAAACCTCTCTTGCTGCAACTCTGTAAGGCACCACACGTGCAAATGTGAATTTCAGTCAAAACTTGTAGCGGGAAAAAAAACCACCCCAAATCTAAAYGTGCTTACACGGTTGGAAAATGTATTTTAAACATGACATTTACTCTCATCTCTTTGGGACTAAAAAGATTTATGAAACTTCACATTTATAGGCTTTAAAAATTTAATTAGTGAAACAGGCAGTTAAAACTCACTAAGTTTATATTGAATTCCTCCCAGGCAGTTTCAAAAGTGCAACCTGACCATGACCTACAACCGGCCTTGTTAACAGTCCTGGCCTAATTTGAGGCAGAGTGGGGTGCCCTGTCATTTTTAACAAAACAGGCTATAGGGAGTAAAATGAGAATAAAGTCATTTCACTTGTAAAAGAATAATAATAATGATAATAATTTAAAGCCAGAGATAAAACCAGTAGCATTAATTTAAGAACATACCTAGGGATCCTCATGCTTAACTTGCAATTTATACCCCTACTTAAAGACTAGGCACTCATATTTTAACCTCCCTATTCTGTTTTCAAATCTCACTGCCAGAAAGTCTACCACGGAACTTGGGCAAAATCATCTCCCTTACCAAGACAACCTATAGACACAGAATTAAGCCTAGATGCTATGAACTCTCTCATGTCCCAGCATTTCTACTGAATCCTGCCAAAAGCAGCTTGTCCTTTCTCAAGCTATAGAAGAATCTCCAGTTTCTACTGAAATTAAGTGCAAACCAGRAGAGTTTTACATGAGAGACTTCAATAATAATTGATTTTTTCCCCTCCAATCAGCAATTTAGTATGAGGCACTCGGTTTCTCATGAGCATCATACAGGAATGAAACGTTTTTGTATCTGACTCCTAGATCTTTTGCTTCTGATGTTCTCAGAACCAAACAACCGCACAGAAAAGTGTCTGAAGGGAACCTCACTGCTCAGTTATGGGCTATGCTTTTCTGTCCTCCCCCTTTTAAATGATGTGCTTTAGCATGAAGAGTAAAAACAGTAAAGATGAAAGCTTAAGATCACACACATGAATTATAGCCTCGCTGAAGCTCACCTGGTGTAAGTAGCCAGACAGCAAGAGCTGATCTATTACATGTGAAGCAATAAAGGAATTGAGAAAAAGATAAAGTTAACATTTATACAGCTATTTGCTGCACCAGCTCAGGTGTGCTCCATTCCCTAGTACCAGTCCTGCTTTAAGCAAAGATCAAATCTGAGCAAGTACAATAGAAACCGAGCTTGGTTACAAGCTGCAGTAGTCAAGGACAAAAATATTACTAATCAATAGGTTAAGGCCAGCTAGTTATGATCTGAAATATATCTTACTTTTTCATGGCACTTCATACACTGAAATTTAGTAGTGGGTGACATTAAACGAGGGTATATGTATTTATACTGGATGCAATATATACATGYAGCTTCAGTTCCTAAGTAGAAAGTGCAAATTTTCCTGCCTAAATAAAATCAACTTGTGAAAGACCACCTGTGTTTTCCTATACTGAATATTATAAGAAATGTTACCATCTTTCTCATTTTAGTGCAAACTGATGCAAGTCCCAAGACACATCACCCCTTCTGAGTGACTACTGACAAAAAAATGCCCCTTCTTTTAAAATACAGCTACGCTTGTTTGTCTGTTGTTGTTAAGAGAACAGCAAACACTTGACACGGAGCATGCTGCTCTAGCCTACGTTAACAACGCTCGCCAATGTACAAATGAGGTTTTGGTCATGCAGCGCAGGCCCATCCTCACCATAACCCATCTTTTATTTCAGTCTAGAGCAGAGGAGCCCTGGGGGCGGCCTCCATCAGCAGGTCATGCGGGCCACGCCGTACTCCAGGCTGACCAGGGCGGGCTCGGCCTTGCCCAGCTCCTCCATGAACTCGCTGTAGCGGTTGTCTGCGCTGCTGCTGCCCTCTATGGTTCTTAGGGAGTCGCTCCCCGGCACCAGCGGCGGCTCCTTCTTGAAGCAAGGAGGGGATTTCAGCAACACGGGCGCCGGAGGGGCTGGCAGCAGAGGCTCCTTCAGGAGGACTCCATCTACCTGGCCGCTTCTCCGCTTTATTTTCTGAAAGGTAGATAGTAACTACAGTGAGGATCAGTGCTTTCTGATGACACTTTGCTTTGGATGGAAGGAGAGGTGGAGATTTCTCCAAGCTTGTTCCTTACGGGGCTGCTGCCAGGAGGGCAACACCTCCTGCAGCAGCGCAGCACAAGACCGGCTTGTCTTGTGGCTCCCAGCAAGCAGCGGCCAGCTAGGAATCCCTTAAGACAAAGCAGGTTCATAGTTAAACTTTCTCTCTCCTTGCTAACATCTTAAAACAGATTTAGATCTTAAAAGAAGAAAAAAGCTCAAATGTAGGAAACCACTGTTAGTTGCTAACTAGAAAGTAGGGTCAACAAAGATGATTAAGGGACTGGAGCATCTGCCATATGAGGAAAGACTAAGTGAGCTGGGCCTGTTTAGGCTGGAGAAGAGAGGAGATCTGATCAATATGTGTTAGTACTTGAGGGGAGAATGTAGGGAAGATGGGGACAAACTCTTCCCAGTGATCACCAGGGACAAGACAAGGGGCAATGGGTATAAGTTGAAACCCAGGCAGTTCCATCTCCATGTGAGGAAGAACTTCCCTGTGAGGGTGCCAGAGCCCTGGAACAGGCTGCCCAGGGAGGCTGTGGAGTCTCCTTCTCTGGAGATCTTCCAAACCYGCCTGGCTGCCACCCTGTGCCCCGTGCTCTGGGTGTCCCTGCTGGAGCAGGGGGTTGGGCTGGGTGATCTCTAGAGGTCCCTTCCAACCTCAACCATTCTGTGATTCTACAAGGTCTGGAGGAAAGGACCTATTCTGCAAGCACACAGTGAATGCAGAGGACAGCAACTGGAAGCCTACATGAACTGAATTGATTTTTTCCTCACCTTGATGATGTGTTTGTGCTCTATTAAAACCTAGGATAAGTCTAGAAGCCCATGATGTCTTTTAACAAATTAACTTTGAAGATGAAAGTAGCAGTAAAAAGTTCTGCATCAAGATTTCAAGAAGTGCAGGGTCCCTTTTTCAACTAATTGCTAAAAGTGGGATCAGGCAGAAATAACACATTGGAACAAAGTTCTACAAAACTGAAGTCTCCGTCTGAGTTTTCCTCTTGCTGAAATTTCACCTTTATCTTGCCTTTCATCTTGATTTCTCATCCTGCTGTATCAGCTGTCTAAAAAAAGTTAGATGTGCAGTTAAGAGTGGAGACAGAGTTAAGATTATCAGCTTAACGAAAATCTTTCCTCTCATCATCTGTACTTTTTACACCTCCTTAATGCACCATGCACTAGTTAAATGTTGTGGCCAAACGTACAACTGGCGTTTGTCTTAAAAAAATGAATTTCTTAAAATATAATAATTTGAAGTCAGTATTTTGACTATCATGAAGCATCAATTAGATGCAGCTCATTAATTCATACTGTAATAAAATGAGATGCATTGCATTCAGTTCTCCTGGCTGTTTACTGTAGAAATGTGACAAGTCATTGCTAGAAAACCAATTTCTATGTGGATTTAGCCCCTAGAGGTGCTGTCTTCAAACAAACATTACAATGTACATACTCCATAATTATTGCCTTACAATTGCAGGCGTCTGTGTATGAGATAATGATAAAAACATATAGTGCCTGCATTTTATTAGACAAAAAATCCTAATCTCCCTAGTTTAACTACACATCTGTAACAGATGGGAGCCTTGTTATCTCAGCTTTGTTTCATATGAATTTAATCAATATCGARCTATTTTGGGTGATAGTTCAGTAATAGGAGTAGTTTTACATAATAGAGCTCGTCAGGAAAACACAGTAACTGTGGCTAAAAGCAGAACATGGGCTCTATAGCCTGGCATAGAGCCTAGAAGCAAACAGAGAAAAAGATAATTCACTAGTATATAGAACAAGTGCTGGGCCATAAAACAGTGAGACTCATATGAAGGCCAGAAGCTTTATTACAATAATTCTTATCAGCAATACTTACAGCTTCCAGTTCTTTAATGTCTTTTTCCAGTTGTTTATTTTCCTCGCTCATGTTCATGATAAGGTCCAATACAGATTGCCTGGGATGCAGACTTCGATCAAACTGATGGTACATGCTCCTCCAAAACCTGCACGTTACAAACAGTTTCTTAACTATCCAGAATGACAGAATTAAAAAAAAAGTGTATTATTTCAAACTTACTTAAAGTTGAAAGACACTGTGTTAGGCTCCAAAAGAGATAGCTCTGGAGAAAAATCTGGATTATACAGAGGATTCTGGTATTTCTTTTGTTCATCCAGAAGGAATGGCCACAAGGAATACGTCTTTTCCTTAAATCTTAAAAGAAGAAATCAAGGTCAAGACACAGACTGCAAGTAAAAGCCCAGCATCAACTTGACTCAACAAAATAAATCCATCTCAGTGGCTATTTTAAAGTTACCAGAAAAGGTATAAATTTTGAATGAAACTCTCTGCTCAAGTCTATCCAACATCAGCATTATACCAGGAGGAGGGAAGAAGGAAAAAAAATAAAAAATAAAAAATCTATTTTACTGTAAGTTTTGAAATTAACAGTACCTATGCTGCACAAACTGTGCTTAGTAAAATACATTTTAAGAAGTAGTGATGAAGTGATGACAAGTTTGTATTTTCCAGCTGAAAAAATTTGGAGACATCATGTGTGAGAGTGCACGCGAGTGTGCAAGTGACTGTATGCGAGTGAGTGCATGTGTATGAGAACATGCATACACACACAGGTATGAGTGTGAGCACGTGAGTGTGGCGTGGTGCAAGCRTGCGCATGCACATGCAAGCACACGCAACTGCACGAGTGAATGTGCAAGCAACTGTGTGTGTGAGCGTGCATACACGTGCGTGTGTAAGTGCGTGACTGAGCACAAATATGAGCACGAGTGCATGAGTGTGAGTGCGCAAGTGAGCATGTGTGAGTGTGCAGGCATGTGCAAGTGAGTGACAGGGTGTGCAAGTGTGTGTAAGAGCAGGCATGCACATGCGTGGGGTGTGTGCAAGTGTGCATGCACACATGTGTAAGTGGCATGTGAGCGAGTGTGCCTTTGTGTGCCTGTACAAGTGTGTGCACGTGTGCAAGCATGCATAAGCATGTATAAACATGCGTGTGCCAGTGTGTGTGTAAGCATGCACGTGTGCACGCGCAACAGTGTGCACAAGCAGGAGTATGTGGTATGTGTGTGCAAGTGTGTGTGCACGCAGGAGTGTGGTGTGTGTGCAAGCGTGCGCACACGTGAGCACATGCACGAGGGTATAAGTGTGTGCATAAGTGCACACGCTTATATAAATGTGTGAGTGTGCATGTGAGCGACACACTCATCCATTTTTAGAAAAGGATGGAGGCAAGAGACACTTCGACTTGCCCTGTAAAAAGGGAATATGGATTTTCTCCTCAAATGAGGAAAATGGTCTAGGCAAAACCACTAGGATCACTGCTCTTCCCTAATGTAGTTCAACTTCTGTTTTAGCCCTGCTTATTCTGTCTCCCTGCTTTTATTCCAAATCTACAGTTGTTCTTT